GAGAGTTGCCATGGCAGCAGGAGGCAATTTAATGGTGAAGGCTCATCTCCGGAGCGCGGCTGGTGCCCCAGCCTTCCCCCCTGGCCTTCCACGCAAGGGGCTGGCCAACCCGGGCCATCCCTGTGCCCTGGCCATTTGAAAGCACAGTGCTTAGTGGAATAGAGCTGTAAGATCCCCCAGATTCCAAGGACAGCTCCCTGTTCTGTCCCCCGCTTCTCCTTGGCGAATGCCCCTTTGAAGTCCCGTCCCGTAGCCCACCTTATCAAGTTATTTGCAGTTCCTTAAATAATGCTCTCTCATGTTTCTGCACTTTTACACACGCATTTTCCTCTGCCTACAGTGCCCCCTTCCCCATCTGTCTGGAAAATTCCTACTCACTTTCAAAACGTGGCTTAGACACTGCCTCCTGCTCCACAGTGCTTCCTCCAACCCCTTACCCTCCGTGCAGAATCGCAGTTTCTTCTGCCGTCTCAGCCCTGCCGCGCAGCACAGGGTTTTGAAATGAACTCTGTATTTTTGTCTTTTCTTCTCTAGACTGTAAGTTACTTGCATTCCAGAGTTATTCATGTCCCCAGGGCCTCGCCCAGGAGTGGGCACATAATGTTTGTTGAATGAATGGTTTTCATAGCATCCTATTTGACCCCGATCCTGGGGGTGTTGCATACGACCTAGAGGACAGCACTGTCACATCCAGGAAGGGTTTCCTCTGCTCTGAGGATTGACCCAGTTTAATTAGCTGACTGGATGGGTCTATAACTGAGTCTCCGGGACATTTGTTCTCACTTTCCAGTTTGAACTAGAATGGCCATGGTGGGACAAGCAACACGTGGGAGTCAGTCTCCCCAGGGTTCAAGTTGGTTGTCCAATTTGTAAGTCTCAGTTCCCCCTCGTTGAATTGGGATGTGTGAGGACAGTGCCGAAGGTGCTCTGTGGCCCAAGGTAAATTCTTGGTGAATCTTCCTTTATCTTGCCCTATATTCCATGAAGAAAGTGAAAGCAAAATAGAAGTTTAAACTTGTTTATAGCTATGAACCTCCTCCAGTGTCTTTATCTGCATCAGATCACTCAGTGTTGTCTTGTTGCTCTGAGCACAGCTTTAAAGGTCACCCTTTCTGCTCCCCTTGTCCCTTTCCCGGAGCTCCTGTGCTTTAGTGCCCTCCCGTTGCCTCGTCTCCCAGTTTTCATCTTTGGTGGATCTATCCCCTCAAGTGCTGGGCAGATAGACATTTTGAAAAAGTTGAATTTAGAGAGATGAAGGGACAGAGAGAGAGAGACATTGATGTGAGGAAGAAACATCAGTTGGTTGCCTTTTGCACCTGCCGGGACCGGGGATCAAACCTGCAACCTGGTGTCTGACCCTCTCAGTTGAAAAACACTCATCTGTAGATTTGTGAGTTAGAATAATCTGGTCTGCCAATGCCATGCTTATTTGAGTGTTGGGTATTTGTTTCATTTAAAAAAAAATAAAATTGCCACATATAGTTCATTTTGTTTAAAGTGAAAACTGAACCTAAGGATTTATTTGCCTGGGTAAAGGCATTTTCAAATCCAAACTCAGGAAAGTGTGGTTTTAATGACTCATAAATTTGTTTGATGCAACCACTTTTCCTACTCTGAAATATTTAGTTAAATACTAATTAGTTAAAATATAACTACTTATAAACATGTTGCCGTGGGTTAGATAACCTTCAGGATGCTGGAAACAATATGCAAAGTTAATATAGAACAGTTAAAATTACTAATTGTGTTTACAGGAAATACTTTGAGAACAGAAACAGAATGAAACTCAGAATCAGAAAGACTAGATTNAACAGTTAAAATTACTAATTGTGTTTACAGGAAATACTTTGAGAACAGAATGAAACTCAGAATCAGAAAGACTAGATCTGAATTCATTCTTTGGTACCTACTAGCTTTCTTGGGCTGACTAGTCCATCCCTCAGGGGGTCAGGCTTATCTTCCATGGAATGGTGGTGGCCTCCCTCTCATACAGTTTTTGTGAGGATCAAAATAAGTCATGGATGTGACAGTTCCCAGCACCCAAATCTCTAATCAGTGTTAATAGAGTCTGAAATCTAATGCCTATAAATGATCTAAAACATTGTGTGGGTGTGTGCACACATGTGGTGTATTTATGTGCCTTTGAATATGTGAAATGTGTAAGGAATTACGTTTACTATGTTCTTAGACTGTGGAGGTGACTGATGGTTTTGAGTGTAATGGTTTATGTATGTGAGTGTACTTCCTGAGGATACCATTAAAATTTTTTTTAGTTCTGTTGACATAGATTCTTATAAACCATAAACAGGCTAAAAACCGTGCAGTGTCAGTTTCACAGTGTTACAGTCATTGTAGAATTCTTTTCTTGCTCTGTGTTGTTTTCATTGTGCTAGACCAGTTCTGGAGGCCTCCTTGGTCCTTACCAAGGCGAATGACCTGGCGGTCATAAATACTACACAGGTTTTGCTTCCAAATGGAAGCTGAATATTAGTAGTTAGTCCTGTTTTATGTCCATATCAGAAAGTGCCTTGCTATCAAATGTACACTTTGTGAAAGTTTGTTTTCTTAATGATATGATCCCTGAACATATCACATATCACATACTGCACTTTAGATGCTTGTGTACATTACTAGTAACATTACAACAAACTATAAAACAGGTGGTGTGCTGTTTTACACATAAGGAAGCTGAGGCTCAGAAGGGTAAATACATTTCCCAAGGTCAGACAACTGTTAAAAAAGAGAACCAGAAAGCAAGCTCAGATGCGTCTGACCCCGGTGAGGTATGAGGTTGCTGCCCAATCACTATGACAAATCAAGGTCATGTGCTTTAAGGTGTGAAAGAAGTTGGAAATATAGTGAGGGCACTTTGGGCCTTGGTTTGGGCAGAGGCCTGCAGGACAGTCAGACAAGGCTTCTGTTCCCAGGAGGCTGTGAGAGGCACTGCGATGGACCCAGCGGCCAGGCCCTGGGAGCCTCTGGCTTTCTCTGCTTTTTCTCAAGCACTGCAATTCTACTGTCACATGGTTTCTCCAGGTATTTCTCAAGGCCTTTGCTCATCACAACTATGCGCTTAACTCCTCTCCCCACCCCAGTTCCACTGCCCACCAGCCCCACCTTCCACAGCAGAAGCATAAAACAGGGTTGTTGTGAGGGCAGAGAAGTTAATATGTGTAAAGGGTTCATTTAATACAGTGCCTGGTACATAGTAAGGACTCAATAAATGTTGGTTACCATTATATTTATTTTATTGTTAATAGTAGTAGTTTTAGTGGTGGGGGTGAATGATTCAGAGGTTTTATGACACCTTCCTCAAGGACCTGAGCGTTCCCTGGCCAGGGGCTGGCTTTGTGTGGTTCATGGCCCAGGGTCCCAGGCGTGGGGATGCTCAGTGAGATGCGCAGGCCAGATGGAGGGCGAGTTAGTGAGGGAGCGGTGGGGTTTTCTCTGTGTGCTAGTTCCTTGTCATCAGCCTCAGAAGCAGCCCGTGAATCCCACTTCCAAACCACATCTTTCTGCCTGCCTTCCTTTCTTTCCTTGTATCTGTGGAGAACATTAATGGTGCCAGAGTCACTAACAGGGTTACACAGAAATTACTGCTTTTAGTCTGGTGGTTTGTAGCTCACACCTGCGCTTCCCCCTGAGCGCCCGGGCCCCTGCTCCCCTGAAGTGTGTATACAGTGCTACTCCGCTGCAGAGGCCTCTCTAGTCCCACCTCCACCCCCTATGCACACGCACATCTTTTTTTTTGTCTCTATTTAATTTTTTTTCTGGTGTCCCTTTATATTGTTCATCCCCACACATGTATTGACTTTGTATTTTTTAAATTAAATTTATTGGGGTGATATTGGTTAATAAAATTCTATAGGTTTCAATTGACTATATTTTTGCTTTTCAGTTTTCTCACCTAATTATGTTTTGTTGTATTTTCTGATTTGAACCACAGTTTATATAGCAACAGAATTTACAGTGTGGGAAAGGCTTTGGCAGTTGCATGGGTAACTTTCCATGGACTCAGTAGACTTGAACCCAAGGCTGGGGGTTCATTAGCTATTATCTTGCATGAGAGCATTTCTACTTGTACTCCCTCCCTTGATCCAAATATTAGACTTTGGTTATTTCAGTTAAGAATGTTTGACTCTTACTTTCTCTTTGGGCAGATGATAATATCTGCAATGTTTGTCTTAAAAACAACTGTTTTAATGTAATTTCTAATTAATCTTCCCTTTTTTAAAATACAAATGTTCAGTATAGAAAAGGAATAATTTACAATTTGGGATTATTTTGTTTATATGAAATGGACCATTTTAATAAATAATATTTATTATATTTCTCAATTCAAAAGTAATTTTCACACTTTCTAGACAATGAGAATTATAAAAAGTAAAAGAAAAAAAATTAAAATTATTTTATTCTTACACCCAGAGATGACTATAGTGAAAATGTTATATTTCCCTCTAGTCTTCATTCAACTTTATATATTTAATTTTATAATGTATTTTTGTAATTATATACTCACTAGCTAAAGTTCTATATATTCATTCATTTTATAATTAGACATTTTCTATCTAATTATTTATTTATTAACTAAAGTTTACATATAAATTACAGTTTGTGTTATATAGCAGTATTGGGATATTCCAGTAATTATTTTGGTACAGGTTTGACAAAAAATAAAACCAAAATCAATTATTTAAAAAAAAACTAAAATAGATTATTTCTAACTATAAAATACATGTGACAAAAATTTAACTATTAAAAAAATAGATCATGAGAAATGAGTTCCACAATTACTTTTCATCCCTGCTTTTAACAGTATATTTATCAGCAGTTATTCTTATTTATCTGTGATTAGATTTGTGAAATGTTTACGCAGCTATGATTAAATTTGTGGAGGAGTATGGAATAGATGTTCTTTGCTTTTAGTCTGAGTCAGATATGCAGTGAACCAGAATGTGTTTTGTGAAAATAGTATCTCAATATTTTTCTCCATGCTTTAGGTATGTGTTCTTTTTGGATCCATGCAATCTGGACTTGATAAACCGGAAGATCAAGTCTGAAGCACTGTGCGTAGCAGCGTGTCCAAGACAAGAGCTGAAAACCCTGAGTGATGTTCAGAAGTTTGCAGAGATGAATGGTGAGACTTTAGGCCTCTGAGACATTCTCGCCCTGTTAAATTTTGTGTGTTTTCATTCCAATATAAATTTGCCCTGGTGTTTTTAAAAAATCATCAAAGAACCTTAAAAAGAAAGAGACCTGAAAGTACCGTTGGACTTCCTTGATAAAACTATGTTATAGTCACCTAGAGAGCTTGTTAAAAAACTCCAGGGAAATTCTGACTGAGTAGGTCTTTGGATGTTGGATATTTGTATTGTTAACAAATGTGTCAGGTGATTTTTGTGAATTCTATTTGAGTATTTGGGAATTACTAGACCGCTCCAGGTAAAATTGGGGTGGGTTGGGGTGCGGTGTTTCTTCCTAAGTATTCATTAATTAAAGTATTTCAATTAGTATATTTATTTTTACCTCTAGATAACAATGTAACATGTCTATTATAGGAAATTTGAAAAGTTCAGAAAAAAGATAATGAAGTAAAAATCAAAGTTTCAACCTTTTTCAGTGTGTTGCTGTACATAATTATGTGTTTGCCTTTTTAACTTAACAGTATGTCTTTACCATTTTTCTAAGAATGAAGTTTTGGGAAACTTTGATGTTAGACATACAGGATTTAGCTGAGAAAACAAGCAGTCAGCTTCCTGAACTCTGGCTCTGTTCTCTTGGGCTTCTCACCTCACCGAAGTTCTCTGCAGATAATTTTTGTGTAATACCTCTTTTTGTGAAGGGCCACACGCTGACACCCCCAAAGCCTGTGTTTTTGGACTTCCATGAAGTTTCATGTGTGTGTTTGGTATGGGGGGCCTCCGAGCTGCCTCCGTCCTGCCTAAACGCAGGCTGGCTTCGGTTTCTTCGCAGCTTGACTCAGGCGTCCCTTCCAGGTGGGGGGAAGCAGCCTCGGGACACAGCTGGACGCAGGCGCGGCCCCGCCGTCTGTCATCTGTCGGGTGGGTGCCGGCCTTCCGAGGGCAGAGGGCAGAGCACCACAGGTGGCAGTCCCCCTGTCCACCCCTAAGTGCCCTTCGCACTAGCTGGGGAAGAGCGTGGGATTGATTCGATCTGGATTCTGACTCTGCTTCTGTGGTGATGGGCAAGAAGGCGTCACCTCTTTGAGCCCAGGTCTCCTCATCTGATAAAATGTGGATTTCAAATGATGCCCCCTCCTGGGCTGTTGAGTGTTTAGTGAGATGATGTGTGAGGAATGCTGGACACTGAATAGAGAGGCATTGACTACCCTTTAAGGTCTCCTTTCCTGTTCCCACACTGCGTCCTGTCTCATACTAGAACTATCAGCCTTGTTATTTCCAGGTTTCTTAGGGAGGGATGAGTTATTCTTTTAAGGGTTTTTCTAAAATCTTAGACAGCGTGAGCATATACAGTGTACTCTGGGAGGTGGTGACACTGAGTGGTTAGGAGTATGGGCTCCGGGACTAGATTATCTGGGTTCACGTATTGGTCCTTCCACTTAATAGCTCTGAGGCCCTTAGCAAGTTACTTGTTCTCTCCATGCCTCGGTTTCCCCATCTATGAAATAGGAGTAATATATGTACCTAAATTACTTCATAGTGCTGTTATGAGGAGTTAATACATGAAAAGTGATTAGAACAGTGTCTGGCAAATAGTACGTTGCTAAAAGAAAAAGTGTTGGCTACTGCTGTTGCAATATTATTATTTTTCCGCCAGTGGAATGTAATAGTCTTCCTGCCTCCTGTCTCTCCTTCTAGTTCATGTTAATTCTTTGCTCAGAAATCAGTGGTAAAAATAATAAAATGAAAGTCTGTATGTCTTATTCTGGCATTTAAAGCTATGATCTAGTGTTGAACTATCTTCTAACATGTTCCCTTGAACCAGCTGATAGGAGTCTTGGCCCTTGAACCTGACATGTCACCTGTTAGAGTAAAAGAGAGCTAGTTCCTTGTTGGCTGTATTATCTGCTATATTGATCCATCGAGAGGAAATGCCCCATGCTGCCCTGCAGACAAGCTTTGTTTCTAGTCCAGTATCCTTCTAAGTGGCCTATTAAGGTACTGTTAAGATGACCCTTCCGGTGAGTTTTGAGAATTTGTATTTCCCCCAGTGTCTTGCATAAAGTAGATGTTCAAACATATTAATGAGTAAACATTATTCGGAAAACAGACTTCTTAAATTGGTACATAGCTACAAAGACACCTGAAAGCTTTTGAGGCAGCTGTTTGCAAAATGAATCAACAGATTAGGCGTTTAAAAGGTAATAATAATGGCCCTGGCTGGTGTGGCTCAGTTGGTTGGAGGATCGTCCGGTATACCAAAAGGTTGTGGGTTCAATTGCCGGTCAGGGTACATACCTAGGTTGTGGGTTCAACCCTGGTTGGGGAGGCAATGGCTGGATGTTCAATGTTTCTCTCTTTCTCTCTCACTCTCTCTCCACACCCCCTACCTCTCTAAAATCAATAAAAACATATCCTCAGGTGAGGATTAAAAAAAATAAATAAAAGGAATACTCTCTTTTATCTGAACCAAAAGCACAGGCAACAAAAGAAAAAATAGATTGGACTACATCAAAATTTAAAACTTCTGTGCATCAAAGGATATAACAGAATGAAAAGGGAATTCATGGAATGAGAGAAAATATTTGCAGATCTTATAAAGGGTAATATCCAGAATATATGAAGAACCCCTACAACTCAACAACAACAACAAAACAACCTAATTAAAAAATGAGCAAGAACTTGAACAGACATTTCTCCAAAGATTATATACAAATGGTTAATAATAAGGACATGAAAAAATGTTGAACATCACTGATCATAAGGAAAATGCAAATCAAAACCAGAGTAAGATACCACCTCACAGCTGATAGGTAACTACTATCAAAAACAAAACCAAAAAGCCCCAAAAAACAGAAACTAACAAATGTTGGTAAGGATATAAGTTGGAATACTGATACTGTGGGAATATATAATGGTGCATCCACTATGGAAAACAGTATGGGGTTCTGTAAAAAATTAAAAATAGAATTACCACGGAGGATTTTTAGGACAATGGAAATACTTTAATAATGGATAGATGTCATTATACATTTGGATCATGCCCATAAAATGTACAACACCAAGAGTGAACCATAATGTAAACTATGGACTTTCAGGTGCTTATGATGTGTTAATGTAGCCTCATCGGTTGTATCAAATGTATCACTCTGGTGGGGGCATGTGGATAACGGGGGGCCATGCACGTGTGTGGGGGCAGGAGTTATATGGAAAAATCTCTGTACCTTCCTCTCAGTTTTGCTATAAACCTAAAATTGCTCTAAAAAAAATAAAATTCTTTTTAAAAAAATAGATTACTATATGATCAAAAAATCTCGCTTTTAGGAGTATAGCCAAAAGAATTGACAACAGGATTTCGAAGATATATTTGCAGACTTAGGTTTATTTCAGCATTATTCTCTCAAGAGGTAGAAGCAACCTGAATGTCCATTGATGAACGGATGGACAAAGAAAATGTGGGGTATACTTACAATGGAGTATTAGTCAGTGTAAAGAAATAAGGAAGTCTTGTTGCGTGCTATAACATGGATGGACCTTAAGGACAAATATTGCATGATTTCATTTATATGAAGTATCTAAAGTAGTCTAACTCTTGGAAGGTAAAACGGCATTTGCCAGGGGCCGAGGGTATGGGGAAATTGGGAGAGAGTGTCCATGGGTATAGAGTTTTAGTTTCACAAAATGAAAAAATCCCAGAGATCTGTTGCACAACTGTACTGTACACTTAAAAATGGTTAAGATGATACATTTTGGTGTATGTTTTTACCACAGTTTTTTGAAAAAAGAAAGGAAATCCTGACACATGCTACAATATGGATGAACCTTGAAGATATTATGTTAAGTGAAATAAGCCAGTTACGAAAGGACAAATATTCTGTATGGTTTTCCCTTACAAGAAGTATTTAGAATAGTCAAATTTATAGAGACAGAAAGCAGAATGGTGGTTGCTGGGGCTGTGGGGAGAGAGGAAGAAGAAATTATTGTGTTATGCATAGAGTTTTAATTCTGCAAGAAATGCAGAATTTTGGAGATGGATGGATGGTGATGATTGCACACAACATGAGTGTACTTAGTGCTGCTGAACTGGACACTTAAACATGGTTAAGATGGTAAATATTTGTCGTGTATTTTACCACAATTAAAATGTTCATGAAAGAGAAAGAACGATAGTAAATTTTAAATGATAATTTTCAACCTTATTTTAAAATGCAAGGTAAAATAACATTTTTCTTACCAGAATGAAAAGATAATATAAGTCCTTTTCAAAGACTTTTATGTTTCCATGACAACATTTGAAAGTACTTTTTAGCACTTACAACCATCCATTCCTATGAATTTCTATTACCTTTACAAATTATTTAAAATTTTTGTAAAGGAAAGCTTGGCTCTTGTAGTAAGAAATGCATTCATTAAGCAAATAAAATATTTCTTCAATTTTTTTGTTTCTTTTAGACAAGGAAGAGTTGTTTTCTTGGACACTTAAGTTTGTGGACTACTCTGTTGAGTATGTCTCACTAGAATAGAAAGTTTGGGAGAAATAGCTGGAAAGTAGATTGGTCATGTTAATATGCTACCATATCACAAAGAGCTCGGGAAGGCAAGCAGAAGGATTTAGAGGAATTTAAAAGTATAAGTTCTGATATGTGAGCTGGATGGTAGGTGTATAAGTGTGCATTTTATTATTATGGTGCGTAGTTTATATATGACACAAATATCATAAATATATGATGCTAGGGAATGAAACAACTTAAAAATTGCTTAAAAGATTAAAGTTGCCAAACACCACAAGGAGTCGGTGTTACGCGTCTTCGTTCATCATCTTTCTGCAGTAGCACGGGCTTCCTCGGGGCTGGGCCATGCTCTGCTCCCCGGACTGTCCCAGCCCGACCCAGGACTCACGTAGTGGCTGTTCGTGAATGGCTCCTGAGGGCCGTGGACTGAACTGCCCCTTCGTCTCCGTTGCCACAATCATTTCTCACTCTCCCAGTGTGCTGTG